GTTATCAGTGGAGCCCAGGTCGCATTTGACCTCTAGTGTAGCCTTCTCTACTTGCCTATTTCCAACTGAAATGACTGAACTCCAACCTTGCCTCCTCCAACATGACCTCCATTTCGAGATTATTTAGGCGATGCCGCGTATCATATAAATTCATATTTCTTTTCTCAATACAGAGTCTACCCTTGTGGAGGTACAGTTTTCCTTAACTTCATGGGGAGAGGCATTGTGAAAGGCATGTGATACAGGAGAGGCCTCCACAGTATGTGGAGGAGGCCATGTGGTTTATCAAATGGGAAGATAGCAGATAATCCACATGCATGTTTTGTTTGGAGTGAGATCTGGCTCTGGCAAAGCCAATTTGACATTTTTGGAACTCTGGTGTCTGCTTCATTTTCGAATTCAAGAGCGAAGATGGCAGACAGGCAATCAACTCCTGGAGTTGGAAATACGGACGACACCGGTATGGACATGACGGCAACGACCAACACGGCCACAAACAGCACGGCCCTGAACAACATGATTACTCTACGACATCTACAGTTCGCTAGCCTATTCACAGACTCCAATCATTCAGTGGATCACTTCCTAACCATGCTCTCTCAATGAGCGGCAAGAAAGACCTATCCTTGATCAACGACCACGAAGTTATACATATCGAGAAGTTCCGGAATGCCATCCGGGACTTCTCGATCGCCTACGATAAGCTGTAGTCCGTAGGATATGATAGGTTTATAAAGAGGGGTTTCTATAGCGAATCCCATATCCAGGCGAGGAGTTGGCAACTCCTCGTAAGCTCCGTCCATCTCTTATATCCACTTCAGCGCACCCAAACTTTTCTTGCGACATACGCCTGTGAATACTGAAGAAGCCCAGGCTAATTTAATCTAGGGACCTATGTAGAGCGAAGCACACCATAGGCCTGGTGATATCCAGTGATCTGGACCTTGCGAACAAGGATGAAAACACACTAGATTGTGTGTCCCCTATCGAGGAAGTGTTCCAGACGATGAGGATAAGCACCACCATCTCCGACGGAGCACCTGTACCGATTTAGGTCAAGGAACGGAAACCCGTCTGCAAAGTCGTGATGGACAGGATAAAACTCGAAGTCCTGGTGAATCGCCCAATGGGGACACGGTAGGTTGAAAAATACTATTCCGTATGCTACATAAGGTAGCTAACCTGACACAATCAATAGAGGAAGGCCGCAAACGATCGAAGCAACGCAAACAAGAAGTTGAAGATCGACACAACAAAAAAGAGCCTCACAAAGTAGGCGAGGCACCAGAGGGCCAGGTAGTGCCACGGCAGACAAGTTTCAAGGGATGGCAGTGGCTGCGTGGGCCTGCATGTATCTAGCGATTGCTTCTGTGCAGATGTTTAATCAGGCATATTTCGACCCAACATCAAGCACCGGGCATGCATGCATGTAGCAAGAGGTCTTGGTGCCATGGCTGACCCGTGGAGACGATGCCTTTGGCGTCATGGTCGGGTGTCTTCATTTGCACTTACGGGTAGCGTTTCTGAGTCACTTGATTCAATCAACGAGTTCATCTCACCATACAAAACGTGGGATTTGCTACACATCATAACTGGGAGTCAATCAGCTGCATAGATAGATACAAGATCCAGTCAGAAAGAACATCAAAGGGCGTATGCACTACGGCTGAGAACGGCGAGGGTCTGCGGCTTGCAGAAAGGGGAAACAGAAGTTATTTTTCTAGTGTCACCAACGGTTATTAGTGTTTCGAATCATTGTTGTCAATACAATGCTGAGAGCAGGCCGCGTGTTCGTAACAAATATAAGTACCCAGTGGCTCTCCTGTGAAAATGAATGGAATGCATGGGCGATGATGCGAAGGACAGACTGGCCAAATCTACATAGTGTACACCGATACTCGACCGCCATGGCCCTTGGATGGGTTGGTGGCTAGCGTCCATAATAAACGACCCCTTTCCATTCTCCCGTGGTTTCCATGCCACCTAGAGTCATCGATCACCCCACCGTTCGTCCCCTATTCCTAAGTATGCTCATCGACGTGCAGAGGTTTTGGACTTCGATGGTACGGGTTTCCTGGTGCAGATATACATAGTTATGGGCATTCCCCTCTGCAAGAAAGGATCGAAACATTCGTTGAAACACATTGTGAAACGATTTGGAACAGAGAATTGGAACAAGACCGGTTTCATGTGTGAGGGGGGGAGATTCGTCGGCAAGGTGGCTAAGGGGTCTCCAGACGAACAGCTGCGCTCGAGGCATTGGAGTACAGGCGAAAGCAGAATGCCTGAGAAATGGAGCCGAGTTGGTCCTGCGAGATGCGCCATTCGATCGTCGAAGGTTGGGTTCTCTTTTCCAATTTGACAAAAAGCATGAAGGACACCCAAGTGAATCAGTAAATCAGAAGTATTAAACATTTAGTCTACAGGAACGTCAGCAACCAGTTCCATTAAATTAAATGTACCAAAATCAGAGGCGTCTGAAAATGAATTAAGCCTTCCTCCTCGAGGGGGTGCCCTTGGAGCGCGTTGTCGTGGATGAAGCAACAGGAACCGGCTCTTTCCCCTTAATTGCAGCCTGCCTCTTTTTGGACGTCGTGGTTTTGGCCTTCGTCTTACTGGACCCATTCCAGTAATAAACCATCTGCACTGCCAGAATGCCGTTCAGAATGAACCCGGCAATGAACCCGTAGAGGATGATCGGATCATCAACCTCTTGAAGTGTGGTGAAGACCCTCGACAAGGAGCCGATCAGGTACATGAACACCTAAATACACTGTTAGTCTAGCATCACGTCGCGTTTTCCGAACGTACCGCAAACGCGCTCAACTGCCCTGTCCCACCCTCCTTATAAATCGTCCAGATCTGCGGCACCTTGCTCGCGATACTCAACACCCCCGCCCCCGCCTGTAGATACCCCATGGCCTCATCCCCTACCACCCCCTTTCCCAGCAACGCCGACACCGCGAACCCCACCCCCGCAAACCACGCCTGCGCCTCCAGCTTCTTCCCGCTAAAATGCAAAATCATCGTCGCGATCGCCACGTTCTGCACGCTGATCAACGCGCTCTCGCCGTACGTGCTGAACGGGTTCCCGCTGCGCGCATTATACGCGCAGGTGATGATGAACGCGGCGGTCTCGAGCGCGTACGCGGTGAAGGAGAGCCCTTCGGCGGAGCGCGACTTGGCGAGCTTGATCAGCTGCGGGAGCTTGACGACGGAGGAGGAGGCGATGATGGCGAGGCCGAGAGCTTTGCTGGTGGCGAGTTTGAGGCATTCGGGGGATTGAAAGGGGTCGAAGTCGAGGAGGAGGGTCTTGTAGCAGTGGGGCCCGATGAGGGAGGTGCCGGCGTCGAAGATGAAGGTTGGGAGGTTGTGGGTGATGGGTTTGACGTATGGGCGGACGGCCTCGACGGCGGTATCGAGAACTTCCATGGTGATTGGTGTGGTGCTGACGGATAAGTGGAAGTGTTTGAGGAAACAGGATAAATGTTGAGTGTCGTCGAAGTTGACTTGGTTGTTGATGACATGTGGAGCTGAGGCTGAGACAGGGTGTTCAGCCTCACATCAGATCTAATGTCACATGAAAGTCTCCGAGCTTCCGTCCGCTTGGCAACCATTTCGGAAAGCGAACGGAGCATCGTGTAATGGATCACCATGCAGGAGATGAAGATATACAATGCCTCATACATGTACAAGTTTTGTTACTGCAAAATCCATCTATCTAATTGAACCGTAAGGTACAGTACAGAAGAATCCACTTGATCCAGGCGTGTACCGATTGTCGCTCGTTCTCGCGCTGATATTGTACATAACCCCTAATCTACAAGCAAACTTTTCAATCGGGCTTCCGTAGCGATGACCTGGTGATGTGTCAGTAGTGTCTCATATTTAAAAGGGGATTGCCGGTACTCACATCAAGCGCTTGTCGCACTTCCAACACCTTTCTGCACTCCCCAACCCAATCGTTGCTCAACGTCTTCGCCCATCCTTTCAGCCCGTTCATCTCACGCGCGGCCCGATCTAGGTTTCCCTCCTCGAGAAGGGCCTCCGTCCTTGTCAAGATGCTCTCCACATCATCTCCGACCGGCAGTCCCTGCTTCTTGAACATGAGTTTGCTCATCGCAAGGCTGGCCACATGGCTCGCAACGCCAGCATGTTCCGGCAGCAGCGCCGCCTTCCTCACCTCGGCGGACACGCGTCGGAAGCGATCGATGAGTTGCGCGGGGGTGGGGATACCCTTCTGGTATGCGGCCGGGTTGATCGAGGCAATGGCGGCGTTCACGACCGGATCGTTGCTCGCCACTTCTTTGAGGGCGACAAGCTCGTTGATGAATGGCCGGGGCCGGTCGGCCCTCTCGATGTTGGAGCGGACGGCTTCGACGGCGACGATAAGATGCTGGGTTTGCAAGTTGGAGTCGACGACGGAATTCCATTCGCCAGTAAGCTTTTCGAGTTCTTTGACATCGGCTTCGAGCTCCGAAAGACGGCCGAGACGACCATTTCGCTCGCTCTCGACGTGACTGCGGACACTCTCGGCGAACTGGTCGTTCAGTCCAATAGCGAGTGAGAGACGCTCGTTCTTCAGCTTCTGTTCGTGGAGTTTCTCGGCAATGTCCAATTCCCAGCGGAGTTTGTCTTGATAGCTCTTGCTGAGCAGTTCACGCTCGGACTCGTACTCGTCCCGCCATTTGGCTTCGACCTCCCGGATCGCTTCGTCCTGTCGTCGGAGGAACTCCTTGGCTGCAGCGTCGAAATCGGAGTGCAGCGCTTTCAATTGTTCTTCCGTGTTGCGCTCAGTCGTCACCTTCGCTGCAATCAGGTCCTCTCGGACCTTGGCGATTGATTCCTTGGCCTTTTGGATCGTGGTAGAATACTTCCCGGTGGCGTTGTCCGCATTGACTACCGCAATGATGTCGTTAACCACCTTGACAACATCTTGAATGACTGCTTCTTCCGCGCCCTCAATGTTGATGTGGTCAATCAAAGGCAATTGAACAGGTTTCGCAGCCTCGGCTTTGGGTGTTTCTGCAGCCGGGATTGTTTTCTCCCGACTGGCATTGTCCGTAGGTAGAAGCGCATGCGATGTAGACTCTGGGGCTGCTTTTTGTGCCTCAGGGGTCACTGGAGCAGCAGGTGCTGGCTTCGACTTTCCTGCTGATGGATCCTCCAAAGCGCTCATATGCCGGCCCTTGGCTCCCAAATCGCTCGATTTTCTTGTCGCCTCATCGACCAATTTGGAAGATACGCCGCTCCGCTCGGGAATGTTGACCTTACTCTCACCACGCACTTGCTGATATAGACGGGGCTGAGAGCCTGCTGGTTGGAACCGTTTCCGGAATTCCCGCTCTTCGAAATACCCAACAGCGTCTTCGCCGAACGGGACGTATTCCGTGAAGAAATCATGAAAGTTGTCCGATACAAGCGCATAGTAGACACCGCCAGCATATCCAAGGGCCGAAAGGAGGGCGGTCAACAGGAGGAAACGCAACGGGCGTCTCTTCTTACGAGGCTTAATCGGAGGAGCAACGGAGGCAGTGCCGGTGCCAGTCGGCGGTTGAGTCGGGGGGATTGATGGAGATCTAGCAGCTTTCACTTCGGCAGGTGAAGGTGGTGTTCTGGGGACAGGTTGCCCATCGAGTTGGGAGGGCGATCCATTAGCCGGAGAGAGCCTTGGGTCCGGAGGCGCCGTTTCGACGCTTGCTTTCGAGCTCTTAGACCCAGGTAGAACCGTCTCATCAGGATTTTTGCTGGCGAAGGCCCTTCGAGATGTCTGCTGTTCGTTAGGATGGCGTTGGTTCGTGTGATCCGCGAGGTCATACCGAGTTCTGAGCGAGAACAAATCGCTGCGCAACCGGCTGCCATTGGGCTCCCTGGGCGCTCCCAAGGACCCTCAATGGAGCTCCTCTACTCCGTAAAAGAGCGGCGCGCAGCATGACGAGCTGCTTTGAGAAGGATGGAGATGTCCAGGTAAATTGGATGAACAGCTTGGGGGAAGCAACAAAATCTTGGGATGAAGTTGAAGCGCCGAGCATCCTGCGTCCGGAACTTCCCGAGGATGCCTGGCTCCACAATCGACGTATCAATGCCGGACAACATCACCGTCTTCGCCATTCTTACAATAAATTCTACCAGTAACTGAACACCGTCAATCATGAAAGTATGCAATCGTTTAGCATGTTGAATTAGTGTTGTGATGCGTAATCATGTCCGCAATACTTTGGTGTCCAATGTCCGGCGAGATTCCATGATGCCACCAGGCTCTAATTACCGACACACCGTTTGATTTTTGAGAACCATCCAGTGCCTCAATAGTCACTGGATCCCAGTCATCTCAGCTTGGCTCCAAATAGCATCTAGGACAGAGCTCACAGTGTGGCCGTGGCTTCTATCCGTTTGGGTAGACTGCTCATTGTTGTATGGAGATATCGTTCCGAGCACAAGCTGAGCGAAGATTCCAGGACATGTATCACGACATTGTTTGAGCTTTGGTAAATGGTAAGACCAGGCCCAGAAAGATTATCAGAAACCCTCTGCTATCTACGACGGTCTCAATTATGAGCAGTGAGCTGTCTCCGCGGCACATATCCTCTTTCATCTGGGTAAGGGCTTTGCAGGAGTTCTAGATGGCGGGATATATATAATATGCCAAAGAAGAGAGGATGGTGGCCTTAAGAACCATCCTTCAAGATCATTCAACTATACAGCAAATCCTCTAGATTGCAAATCCACCGAATCCCCTTCAATACCAACTCGACTCTGTGAGCCGCCCGGCCAAAACAAATAATTATAGCTGGCCCAACGGCTCCGATCCCGATATTCCCTAAATGGGTGCTACCATTTCCAATATCTCCTCCGTCCCCTACTACGTCCTAGGGCTTTCGGAGATCCTCTCAGGAATCGAGCAAGAAACCTTCGAGATGCCGGACGAATGTCCCACCCTGACCACCGTCGATACGCCGTTAACTGAGTCAAGCATGGCTCTAGTGCCTGAAATCGAGGTAGACCTTAGTGACGGCAAGAGATAAGGAGGACCCGCAGACGTCCAGCAACAAGACACATTCTCTGTTCTTTCGCCCGCGAAGATGGGCGAAAGGCTGCCAATTATCGTTGAGGAGCACGAAATCAACCCAGCGCTTTTGGACGAACCGACAGAAGAAAAGGAACGGTATTTTGATCCGGAGTCCTGTGAAGAGGAATGTGAATGTGATCTCAATTCGCAGATATATGAGTTGGAAGGGGATTCTAGGGAGGAGGTGGACGAGGACGGAGAAGAGGATTTCGAGAGCCCGGCCTCACCAAATACACAACGGGAGTTGGCCGATCAGGCAGCCGCCGCAATGGATGCAGAACCCGATATGGAACCCCAAGTCTCGCTGTGCGAACTACTCGAGGACCGATTCACCGAGCTCGAAGCGCTTCGACGCGCGCTGAAAGTCCAGAAATGAGTGGACTCCGCCCTAACCGGCGACGGCAAGCTCAAAGCCACTCTAGCGTCGCACGTTGTGGCGGAAGTGGAGAATAAACTGACGATGCTGGGAATCTATCGATTCTTGTACAGTAGTAGCAATTTCTCCCAGAACTTCTGTATTAGTCTGCTGGACTTGACGGCCCCGAAACGTCGAGCAAGAAGGTGGCGCTGGATTTCGGATTTGCGGAATTGCTTACGTGTGCGGAGTAAAATTCCAAGGGAGGAAAGGGGGTTAATCTACTGCTTGTCACTGGTTTAATGATTTCAGGTCACTACCCTAGATTTTCGCGATGAATCCTACACAGAGAATATGAAGTACTGCAATGGTTCGTATCTCATTATCACTCCTGCATTCTCCGCACTGCCCTCAACGTCGAAAAGCATCTCATCCCCCTACACACCAGATCGCATCATGTACTCATTCCCAGCATACCAATTCCCCCTCCCCTCCGGCACCAAATCAAACACATTATAAACCGGACACAACAAATCTAACCCCCTCTCCACCCCCGGCCCAAAATCCCCCTTCTGCATATACAAATGCCTCACCCCCTCCTCCTCCCCCTGGAACACCGACACCCCCGCATCCTGCCCCATCCTCCCCCCCTCCCTCTC